CTGGGGGAGGGGGGTCTCTGGGGCGGGGCATTCACATCATTTCACTCTGGTCTGGGTGGTGACCTGAGAGCCACGGCGGCGGGGACCACCCTCATCCATGCCACCTCCAGCCTGACAGGAAGGATCATGGGAGGTAGAACTGTCACCCTGTGAAGGCTCGGGTCGGAGCCCAGGGCCTCTCCCCTCATGGCACTCATTGAGTTTCAGTTCCTGGGAGATGGGGAGAGGCTGAGCCAAGGGAAGTGTGAAGGGGATGGGCGTGAGGGCTCTTGCAGGTTTTTGTAAGCAGTGATTTAGTTTCATTAAAAAAAGAAAACAATAAACAGCACCTCCCTGTGTGTGTCTATAAAAGGAAGCCCAAGCTGGGAAGGTCGGGGAGGGAGCACATTGGCCAGAAAGACTTTCATGGCCCTTCAGGGCTCTGCAGGCCTCGACCTTGTGTTTCACAGTCATTCATCTGTGTTGCCAGATGTCGCTCGCGTGCCGCCACTTCCTTGTGGGGTTGCCTTCCACAGCAGCCAAGGGAGGGGGACGTGAGGGAAAAATAGCCTTTTTTTGCTGGTGAGGAAGTGTGAACCTGTCAGGAAGGAGTCTTCTGCTGTGGGTGCTGCAGAACCTGTCCCAGGTCAGCTTAAATCCAGAAGATTTTCCAGACTCTGGCTTTTGAACATTGGAAGTAGAGCTGGTTCCAGGGGAGACTGCCAGCACAGTAAAGCAACAGAAGGTGAGATCGCCAGCGCCTCTTCTGGGGGTGGAAGTAGGGCTCCTTGGCTACTGAAGGTGGGGTGGCCTCTTGCACGTGATAACGAAGTTGAAGTCTTAGTGCTTATTTGCTAAAAGGGAGGAGGGGTGTTGCTGGCAGGGGGAGTTTCTAAGGGGGAATGACAGAGGTGGGCCGAGGGGCGGGGGTGGTGGCCCAGGGAGGTCTTCAGGACCCTGGACAAGAGCAGTCCCGCAGCGTGTTGGGCTGGAAGCTTGCTGGAGCCCGTAAGGGAATGTGAGGTGAGACTTGGGGGGCCGTGACTGAGGTACTGTGCTGGGGTGGGGGGCAGTGCGGCCAAGCACGGCGGTCCCCACTCGTGCCACGCAACAGCTCTGTGCGTGTTCTGCTGGGTCAGCGTCCCATGGTCCAGAAAGTTCGGGCCCACTGCTCTCCCCCTCGGAGGCTCACAATGCTTACTAGCTAGTAAGGCCTTTGGAAACTGCAACAAAACCTTTTAACTGTTTGACCCAGTTTTCACAGATGTTTGACTAGGACGGCCTTTGTGTGTGTGTATCTGTAATGGTCCGTGGACCCCGCCTTTGGAACACACACCAGAGTTGTAGCTGTTGGCAGATGGCGCTGCAGTGGGCGTCTCCGAGCGCCAGCCTCTTGTTAGTTCAGTTCTCACAGGAGACTCCCGAGAGGGGAGTGACGAGGCGGCGTTTGAACACCTGGAGGTTTTCCAGCATTTGCCAATCAAAGGCCAGTTTTGGGTATCCTGGTTTGAAAAGTGTGGGGTTGTCCCTTTTTCAGAAAAGAGCTGTCACGTGGTTCTTCTGAGGCTGGACACACTTTGAAAGGAGGACGGGATGGAGCTGCTCTTTGCAGGTGGTCGGGTAGCACCAGGCAAGGTGGGGAAGGGCGGAGCCGGACCTCCGCCAGCCCAGCACTAAGCCATGGGTTGGTTCCTGGCTGGATGTGACTATGCGTCGTTAGGTCAGCTTTGTTTCCAGGAAAACCATTTAAGAGATAAAGGGAGGTTCTCAGGGGACTCCGGGGTTAGGAGGGGCGCTGTGGTGTGAAGCATGTGTTGTGTCCATGCTTACATGCATTTTTTGGCAGGGGAGGGGCTTGGAATACATCTCAGAGGATCTCAAAGGGACTCTAGTCCCACCCCCACCCTTTTCCAAACCACCGCTCTAGAACTGGGGCCTGGCTCTGCTCTCCTGGCCTTGGGAGCCGCATGTTTGGGTTAGAAGTCCTAAAATGCTTTCGACTCCATCCTGCCATCTGTCCCCTTATATTAGCTGTGTTCTGATTCCCTCATTTTGTTCTTGAAACTACCTGGTGTTTAGCTGTCCAACCGAGCAGCTTCCCTGCACCCCGTGGAGCCTCAGGCCTCCTCCTCTGCAGTCCAGGGTATGAGGTAGGAGCGCAGAATCCCAGCTCTGGCACTTGGGGGTGGGGGGCTCCTCCAGATTATATGACTTCCTTCGGTTCCGGTTTCTTCAGAAGTTGGGGATATTGTATTTAGTAGGGATATTGTAAAACTTAAGTGAATTAGAGTGTAGAGAAGTTTGTAGAATGGTCGGTGCACGGGATACATGCTGTGTATATTATGCCTGCTGCTGTCAGTCCAGCTGCCATCCCCCCATTACTGCCGCCCCCCATCAGTGCTACTCCTTCTCCTGCTGCTCCTCCTCCTCCTGCTGCTCCTGCCCCCCCCCACCACTGCCGCCCCCCCCACTACTGCTACTCCTCCTCCTGCTGCTACTCCTGCCACCCCCCACCACTGCCGCCCCCCACCACTGCTACTCCTCCTCTTACTGCTGCTCCTGCCGCCCCATCACTGCCGCCCCCCACTACTGCTATTCTTCCTTCTGCTGCTGCTCCTGCCAACCCCACCCCTGCTACTCCTCCTCCTCCTCCGGCTACTCCTCCTCCTACTGCTACTCCTGCCACCCCACCACTGCCGCCCCCCCGCTACTGCTCCCCCCCCTGCTGCTTCTCCTGCCCCCCCCCCCCCGGCCGCCCCCCCACTACTGCTACTCCTCCTCCTCCTGCTGCTCCTGCCACCCCCACCACTGCCGCCCCCCACCACTGCTACTCTGCCTGCTGCTACCACTTTTACCAGTCCTACCAGTCCCACTCTGACCACCTCCTGCCCCCATTCCTACTCCTACCACTGATGCTGCTGCGTGTCTGCTAGCAGCTCCTCCCACTGCCCCTCCTCCTCCCGCTGCTACTACTGTGACTTTCCTACCACTGCAGCTGACCCTTGAACGACTCAGGTTGGAACAGTGCGGGTCCGCTCACACACGGGCTTTTTCAATAAACCCGGTACGTACCGTGTATTTTCTGCTCTGACACGTTCTTGCCCGGAGGTGACTTGATTGTCGGAATATAGTAGACAGGACATACACAGGTAGATCTGGATCACCTGTTGACGTTATCGGTGAGGCTTCTGGTCAACAGGCTTCTGGGCTATGAGTAGTTAAATTTGGGGCAAGTCAGAAGTTCTACACAGATTTGCGACTGCGGGGGTTTGGTACCTACCCTCTGCGTTGTTCGAGGCCAGCGGTACTGTGTTCACTACTCCGTCAGCGCCGTGACTGTTTCTACCAGCACTTCTCCTGCATTGCTTTACCCTGACGGCGACTTCTGTCCCCTGCCGTCTGCTCTCCCCGGAGTCTCCCTCCCCACGCTGGGGGTCCCTCCAGGAAGCCTCTGCTGCCCAGCCCTGGCCCCGCGGGTGAGTGACCTCGCTCGGCCATGCTTCCCGGCTCTGGCACAGCTCTGTGATCTTGGAGGTGTTCATGCATTTGTGTCTCTCAGCTAGATTTTCATTTCGAGGGCGAGGCCGTGTACTCAGTGCTGTCTTTCCCCTTTTTACCTTATGTCACGTGGCTGCTAAGGGGCAGACCGAGAGATTCAACCGTGGGGCTCAGTCTGGAGCCTGGTCTCTGACTCTCCTCGGAACACAAAAGCAGAGGGATGACAGACTTGGTTATTTTGGCCAAAATGGAATGGAGAGCCACCACCCCTGCCACATCTCTCACACTGGGCTCAGCTGCCTTGTAGGCGAACCTTTTGGCGTAGGTCTCAGCTGGTAGATTGGAGTTTGGTGGATTCTCAGAGGGCTCACCTTTTCTGGACCCGTATTGTCCGGCTCCTGAGTTTGTATTTAGGGTCCAGGAGCGGTTGGTTCTAGGGTATCTGAAGGGAAATCGTTTGGTGGTGTCATCAGTGCTTCTTGCATCCTACATGAACTTGAGCCCTTTGACAGTCCACGCGTGGGCTTGTGTCTGGGGCCAAGGGTGCAAACTCCTTGTCCCTTCCACTGTTGAAGGTTGCTTGGCCTTGGAGCACTGACCAGGGCGGCCACCTGGGGACACTGTGGTTCCGTTAGTCTCTCCAGGAGCACTGGCACCAGGACGGCTGGGTACCGTGGACAGGAGGCAGGTGCTGTTATCCCCGTTCTACAGACGGGAAGCAAGCTGAGTGCTGGAGCTGGGACTTAAAGCCATCTGGCTTCAGGGACCAAGCTGACGACCTCGTCCTCTGTGAAGACAGTGGGCAGCTGACCACCCGCTCCAGTTTTCTGGAGTTGAGAGTTGTGGCTCAGTGTGGGCTCTCGAGTCAGAAGCCGAGTTTGGAGCCCAAGTCAGCAGCTCTCTATGACCATGTCAGTGTCTCGGTTTCTGCATCCGAAACCCTGACCAGCTGGTGCCTGCTTCATACGGTTGCTGGGGGTTAAGTGAGCGGACACATGCGGCGAGCACACAGTGTTGGCTGCGGTCTTCCCTGCTTCTGTCGGCACTGGCATCCAGTGACACTCTAGGGGTCACGGTGGCCCTTGACGCTGGACACCTGCCTGTGTTACAAAGATGAAGGCTCTGGAACCTGGGCCAGTGAGGGAGGTGGCAGGGTACAGATGGCTGGGACCACGGCATGAGTTCTGCATGGTGCGGGTGTGCGGAAGGGGGTGTGCTGCTGTTCAGCATCAGGTAGGTCTGGGGAGAGATGACAATTCACCAGGTGGAGCAAGAGCAGAGGAGCAGAGGAGGGGCGGCTGGGGAAGCAGGGGATGCTGCAGCGCCCCTGCCTGGCTGCAGGAGGAGGGCAGGGCAGGGAGAACGGACCGTGTGGACGGCGGGGGGCAAGAAGATTGGAGAACTGCCCAGCAGATTGTATTTAGGGGAGGAGGTTGCCGGTCTCAACCAGCAGTGTGAAGTCGAAGATCTCACCTGAAGCTTTTCAGCAGCAGAAACAGGTCTTTAATATTTAAAAAAAAATTTTTTTTAAAGATTTTATTTATTTACTTGACAGAGAGACAGCAAGAGAGGGAACACAAGCAGGGGGGAATGGGAGAGGGAGAAACAGTCTCCCCGCCAAGCAGGGAGCCTGACACAGGGCTCGATCCCAGGACCCTGAGATCATGACCTGAGCTGAAGGCAGATGCTTAACGACTGAGCCACCCAGGCGCCCCAACATTTTTTAAATTTCTTATTGTGAAACATTGGTTCAAACGTGTCTCAAACATATCTTTGCAGTTTAAAGAATAATAAACCTCCTTATATCCAGCACCCAGCTTAAGAAGGATAGTATGGGTGGCCCTCTGTGTTCTTCCATGAGTGCAGAGGAAGCCACTACCCTGAGATCGGGGTGGATCAGTTCTTTGCTTCTCTTTTGAATTTTACCACTGTGTTATGTGTGTGTGTGTGTGTGTGTGGGGGGGGGTGTGGTTGCTTATTTTTGAACTTTATATACATGAAATCATTCAGCTTGCTTTCTTTGACTTCATTTGCTCAATATTGTTCTTGAGATGTACCTGTGTTGACCCATGTGGTTATGGTTCATTCACTGTTGTGCAAACAAAGGCAATGGGCACGGAACTCCCACCAGACTGCTGAAACACTGCTCCTCGGAGATGGGAGCCGTCCCACTCGTGCAGGTCCCGTGTGGCCTCATTGCAGGGCAGTGCCTCTGGGGTGCCCGCCATGGGATGCCCCATGGGGTGCCCGCCATGGCGCTGTGGTGCATTGAGCTGCGTGATCATGAGGCACAGCCCCGCCATGGCCACCAGGGGAAGGGATACAGTATCATGTGGCTGAACCTTGGTTTCAGCCCTAATCTGCCAGATCGTTCTTTTGGGGAGGCTGCACCAACTCTGCCCCTTGATACAGTCCTGGATCTACGGTCCAAATTGTGCTCTCACAGGTGTTTGACATAGCTAGCCAGCGGCAGGATTTACTGCATTGCATTCTTGCTTGGAGAAGCACCAGCCCCTTCTGACCTAATTAGGGGGCTGGGGCCCAAGCTTTGTAATTGATCAGTGCCTTAGGCCCTTGGCAATGGCCAGACTCCATGGAGCCTTGTATGAGGCCAAGTCCCTGTTTCAGGAGGCCAGCCTGCCAGTGATAAACCCAAACAGGTTAACCCTTCCCTCTCGTTCATTGTGGGATTCCATCATAGGAGTACGCCACAATGCATTGATAACGTCCTGTTGATAACAGACACACGGATTGTTTCTAATTTTTCTATTATAAAAAATATTTCTGTGAAAATTCTGGAGCAAGGGTTTTTCCTAGGATATTAACTTAGGAGGGGATTTATTATATAGATAATACTATAGGTAATGACAAGCTCTTAATCAACACGGTTGTATCAGTTTGCACTGTGATTTACCACGTGGATGAGCATTCTGTCTTCATACCCTTCACCAACCCTTAATATTTGCTCATTTAAAAAATTTTTGCTAGTCTGGTGGGTATATAATGCTACCTTGAAGTTTAATTTTCACATCCATGATTACTAATGAGGTGGAGCATCTTCATCCACATCTAGGCCATTTATCTTTTACAAATTGCCCGTTTAGCTATTTGGCTTGTTTTATTCTTACTGATTGGTAGTTTTATTCATTCAGATATATACAGACACACACTTTTTTTAAAAATACTAATCCTTTGTCTAGGTGTTGCAACTGTCTTCCCAGTGTGTGCCCTTCCTTTTCACTCTATAGTGTCTTGTGATTTTGGTTTGGAAAGTGCTCATTTTATTGTGACCATGAGAATTCTTGGAAACTGGCCGAAATCATATTTTTTTCAGACAGGATTTGCATTTGCTCCTTTCCAAAGCCCAGGGATCACTTTAAACTCAGCCATGGAGCTTTTTCCAATTGAAACTTTGAGCATTCCCACCCCTGCCCCAGTCTAAGAATTTGGACTGCACTCACCAGAGGAGAGGAATTATAATTCTCAGGGGAGTACTTTTTTTTTTTCAATCTATCCAGCACAGCAAGACCCCTTGCTGCCCCTCTCTGTACAGTGGGCTTGTTTCTCCTTTGCTCTCATCCTGAGGACGACGCCCTCTGAAGCCCCCGTTTCCGTTGGGGGCCTGGATCTGGACTCCCCACCTTTGGCAGGCTCTGAGCTTGACCTGTAGTCCCCTGTCCTCATTAAAGCAGAATGTCAAGATCACCAGGGTCCCACAGAAGCCCCAGAATAGAAGCTGGTTTTACTTCTCAGAATTTTTGCGTTTATTTTTGGCTTATGTGCATTTTTTTTTTTTTAACCCCTCTCGTTTGCTCGGCAAGGATTTAAACATGTTTTTGAAGTGTGTATATCATCTGGCATTTTAGTTGTTTACTTCCGAAGGTTAATCCGGGCATGTGGTCTTCCTGCTGGGATGGAAGTGGCACTGTTACAGAGATGCCCGGGCATGTGGCCACACTTTAGGGAGTCAAATTTTACTATTCTCCCCCTTCCTTGCAGGCAAAGCACATGCACTTGATCTCAGTCGTAGCAGAAGTGGGGGGGAGCCTGGGGGTCGGTGGAGAGGTAGGGGAGTCCTTCAGGCCTTACCTTGCTGCAGCCACAGCTTTTACCATGCCTCCGCCTCAGAAGGGCAGGAAGAGAGCAAACCTGAGAGGCCCCTGAGCAGCTCTGCTTCCTGCTGCAGGTCAACACAAGTGGCTTGTTATCACCCCCATCGGGCCTGACCCAACTGTTCTCAAGGCTCAGGTTCCTGCTCGCACTAGGAAGTGGCTCGGGGCAGGGGTGGGGGGTGGGTGGGGGAGAAGAAGTTTTATGTTGGGCAAAATTTGGACTAAATTTTGAGATCTCAACAGAACCCTTGGACCCAGAAGTATTGACACAATCTGCGTACAAGGACTGATTGCCAGAGGTATCCAGATCTTGTCCTTGTGTACCCTTGACAGGAGAGAAACACCTGAATTGCCTCGTCAGTATCACAGAAAAGCCAATGGGTACTTTTATGATTACACAGGGTAATGCGGTGTTTGCCATATTCACAGAGGAAAATGTGAGGGGAAAATTACAGTTACATCATCCCCTGGGACAAGATGATGGAATTGCTCCACAGAGGAAGAGGTCAGAGGCAGACTCCATGGGAAATCTGCAAGATGAAGATGCTGCCCCCCTGACTTGGAAGAGGTGTCTGCAGACAGGGAGAGAAGTTCAGGAGAGCAGATGAGAGACGCGAAGCGGCAGGTTATAAGACACAAGGGGTTCTAACGATGTTTGTCTTCTAATCAAAGAGGTACATTTAAAACATTTTTTTTTTGAGGGGGGCGGAGCAAGATGGTGGAGGAGTAGGAGACCTGGATTTCGTCTCCTCTCAGGAATTCAGCTGGATAGAGATCAAACCATTCT